GCCCATCGAGGGTGAACGTTCGACCCCTTAGCTCCCCGATCATCGAAGTAGCTTTTCGAGGAAGGGGGAAACTCTTCAGAGATCGTATGGTCTCCTTAAACGTTCCATAAGGGAGCTCTTTCGATCCGACACGAAATGGGAAATAGAGCATCGGGAAATACCGAAAATTCTGTTATCGCGTACTTCGACTTTGAGAATCGTCGAAGCCGACGAGGGCTCGCCTTCGACCTAATGAAACCGGCGGGATGGTTTATTTTGTATCGCTCTCCGTGGACTTTTTTTTTCCCCGAGAAGTCGTTCGCAGCTCGTAGAAGTTGTAAAAACGAGGAGGACGGCGAACGGGGCGATAAGGACGAGGAGAGGCTTTTCATTCGTCCCCGCGAGAGCCAAAAGGGGAGAACTCTTCGAGCGAGGGTGAAACTTCACCCCTTTGGTCCCCGATCGTCGGGCCGGCTCGTCAGGGTCGATGAAGCTTCCTCGAGAAGTTTATCCTTCGACCGATCGGAAGCTACAGTTCGGATCTTCCCTTTCGCGGTATCTTCCTGATCTCCCGAGCGAATGGCTTGGACGCGAGACCCCTTTTAGGAAAGTTTCCGTGCTCGCGGGCGAAATGAATGGCGCGCAACGAGGAGGACGCTTACGTGCGAACCGGACCCTCGAAAACGGAGCTGGGTCCCGAGGGATCTCGAAAACCCTCCCGGAATGATTATCGTCGAGCTGACGGGTCGCGGCGGAACGTCGGAAACGTCGAGTCGAGGAACCGACGTCGCAGATTTCGGTCCTGGGTGATCTCGGGTGCCTGGGGCGAAACGAGGGGTGGCACTTCAGGGGGCGCGTCTGCCTCGAACATCGAGGACGATGCGACCTGAGTCCTAGGACCTGCCACCTGGAACTTCGCACCTACGATCCAGGATCCGGCGCTATTAATCGTAGGACCCTCGGCGTGACACGGGAAACGTCGAGGTGCGTGAAATTCGTCGGGGCCCTCGGACGTCGCCGTCGACGTACGAGGTGACGTCCGTTCCGCGGTGCTTCGCAGCTTCCGGCGGATCCGCGTCTCGGAATATCCTCGAGGAGCATCCGGATGAAAGGAGGGCGGAATGTCGCCATCCTCGAGACCCGGCACACCCCGGGACTCCCCGGGTTGGCCTTGCTCGTAAACTCCGCGCGAGCCGAGCCGGCGGCCATTTTGACGAGGTAATTAACGCAAGCTCTCGCGATCTTGTCGTCTTGCCGACCGCGTCAACGTCGTCCCACGGGCTTACAATGGAAATTCAAACCCATTATGCCAGTCTTAGGGGATCCGCAAGTGAAGCTATGCCGTGTAAGTTTACCGACGTCTCGGCGTCCAACGAGTTTTCCGCGTCAGCTCTCCAACCGCGCGACCCTCCGCACTCGAGAGACGCCATTTTCTCGCCGAAGTCGGGATCGGAGTTATCGCAAATAAATCCATCGCGGTGGAATAATTAATATCCCGCGAGCTGCCGGGAGATCCGAGGCAAATCAAATTAGACGTCGTACTCGCTTGTCACCGATCGGCGTATCCGGTGATGTAATTATTTTCCGCGCAATAAATCGAAGCTGCGAGGCTTCGGTAATTGGGGGGCGAGAGGGGGACCGGAAGCGAGGAGGTCGGCGGGAAATTCCGAGCCCACGATAAACTCAATAAATCGAGAGGTGGAGGTCTCCTCGAGGTGTGAGAACGCGACTAAATTGTTACTATTAGCGTGTTCCAGCCGCTTAAATCGAATCCGCGAATCCGCAGATACGAGGTCGCCGACGTCGCGAGGACGATTTCGAGCTCTTCGATGGATCGAAGCCGAGGGGACGAAATAGACTCGAGAATTACGGGATAAACTTTCAGCGGTATCGGCTTTATCACCGAGGGGCAAACAGGGAAAACGGGGCGCGACGCATAACCCGATCATGATTAAATCGAATGCCGGCAAAATGGCGTTGATATGCCTGTAAAAATTTCGAGCCGGGGGAATGGATCGCTGAAAAAAAAAAAAGTCAATATTTATCGTCGATTTATATATCTCTTTTTCGGGGTATCGCGGAAGACCCGGTTTCACGGAATTTGATGGAATTTCGGGTCAAACGACACCGACGCCAGTAGCGAAACCATCGGTAAAAATACGGGGAGTGGACTGCCACCGTGATTTCGAGATCGACGTGTGCCCTGACACTGGATGGAAGTACTAGGAACACGTATGCAGTAGAATGCACCGAGACCCTGCAACTGGAGCGCCGGCTTGAAAATCGAAAAAAGCGGCCAGCGTGAATAACTTTTTTTCCGCCTGCCGAGGCGCGAGACGTGTAACGTTCCGAATGTTATTCCGTACCTTTAGAACAGATAAACCGCGTTAACGTTAAAGTCGCCGGGGATTCGGATGAACTTCATTTATTTCGACATTGTTCACCCCTTCGCGGTGCAGCGAGGCCCGAAAAAGTGCGCTCCATTTCCGCGGCCGCGAAACGGCCTCGCTCAGAACGAGTCGGGCTCTGTTTCGCAACAATCTCCCTGCAAACGACGCGTGCCAAGAGAAACAATTCGCAGAAATTCGGCGAGCGGTGTGGCGTTATAACTTTGAAATCGATAGGTATCGGGAGTTCGGATGGCACCGCAACGGACTCGCTGAAACGCGATAGAGCCACGTAACAGGCCCGACAGGTTCAGCCGAGGCAAGGGGTTTCACCGATTTTGCAAAAGCCATTTTTTCGGGGGAGAATAAACATTCCTCGGCAGAATTCAACCGAATAAATCACGTCCGAGTATTCGGGAAAGACTAGCCGAACTACGGGAAGTGACTTCGTCGGCTCGTGGGTCGCTTTTCAGAATGGACGCCAGAGACGCCATATTCCGTGCACGTATTGGGCCGTATAAGGGAATTCGACCGGACGCGTAAGAAATGCGCAGCTGAGAAATAAGCCACTCGGCAGGGGGACGGTAAAGAGTGTTTTGCGGAGGTTAGGTCCGTCATTACCGGCGATGACGACGTCGAGTAGTAGTAACTTACCCGTTTACTCAGACAGTGGAACGGACCGAGGCGCGGCACCCCCTATGAATTCAAATTACCATCCGGTCGCGGAGAATTTTTAATTAAAAGCGTAACGTTATTTCGTTTATGGCCAGTCATCTCGCGGGGGTTAACGAGCATGAAATAAATGCGCGAAGCAGCTGCGGGGGAATTAAATGCACCAGCCAGGAGGATGCCCGAGGTCCTTCGACGAGGAGTTGCCCAAAATTGCGGGGACGCCTCCCCGCGGGAGGAAAATCCCCCTCAAACGTTTGTTCCAACCCCCGGATATGGAATCGTACGCCGGGATTTATCGCACTTGCATTAAATCATGAATATTCAGGATATTTCCGAGTGCATCTTACCTCCGCAAATAACGGAGAAGGTGATAGTCGTGAAATGCAGGGCGTTTCTGTTGCATCCGGGGCCAGCAGCCTCCGACTTCGGTATCGCACGATCAAAGGTGTAAAGGACATGGACTCAGCGTCTTAATTAATTAATTTCTACCGTTGTTCATTTGAAAAAATAATAAATTTCCGATTAAAAAATGATTTTTTTATTGGCCTTCTCGTCGAAGTATAGGAGTAACCGGGTCAAGGATCAGAAGTGCGTCTTCATCCGCTCCCGGGAAGATTCTTCTCTTTGGAAATCCCTCGACACGGCCGAGGCGACGAAGTCGTCGACTCGTCGCGCAGTTGCCGGCGTCGTCGCCGGTAATTGGACACCACTAATGCATCCTGGCCCCGACCGTGGGACGTGGAGGGAATAAGAGACGACGGGACCGCCGCGGCGGAAGAGGGCGGTAGAGGTCGATAAGGAAGGCGTCGTTATTTAGTTTCATCGGTCGCCCGATCTATTTTCACCCCCGGCGTCTGCGTGGCCGTTCGAGGAGAGCATCGACTACCTTATCATTGGATTGCCCACGTCCTAGGCCTCCGTGCCGGGCGTGGGGGAGGAGGATTCCCGTCCTGCTGTCTTCCCAGGACCAGCCAGGACCAGCCAGGGCCATCCGGTCGCGAGAGCCTTATAACGTCTCCGCAGATGCTGGGACTCGATAGGGACTCGCCAAGACTCGATTGGTTCGCCATTTCCACGGCGGATTCGATTCCTCCTCGGGCACGCGACCCGTAATCCCCAAAGGACGTAATCCCAGGGTAACCAGATACTTAGAGAGGACAAATGTCCCAGAAACCGGCGGTTTTACCTCGGCTCTGGAAGGCTAAGCCGTGGGTATATTTCTCGGGGGAATCAATTATCGAAGGAGCGATTAAACCCGTCGACAAAACGCTGACCGAGGCGCTGGCGATGAAAGGGTGCGGGGATTACACCCTGGGTGCTGGGAGAGAAAAAAAAAGGTGGAGAGAACGGGGTGTCATAATTTCGCGATAATCCATTTGCGCCCTCTTATTACGACTAGTCAATCGAACCCGGCACCTCGCTTTCGGGAAACGAATGGCAATCGCTCGTTTGAGCTTTTTAATCGAATACAATTTCCCCCCGAATTTCGCAGGCGCACTTTCATCCGATTAAGCTTGTATCCATTTTGCGCGAGCGAATTGTCCCTCGTTACTCGCGATCGAATTCTGCCGAGTAGCCCTCGTCGCGTTTTTAAGCAACATTTGGGCATTTTTCGGATTTTTCAAATTTTTGCATTTTAACCAACGAGTCGAATTTCGGCCGATTCTCTAGATTACTGATGACAAATCCGCGCTAAGGTACAGCAAACGAGTCGAGCATCGCCGAAACGCTCTTCTTTTCAGCGCAAATTAGAAAACTCTAAGCCCTCGTAAACTATAACTCGAACCCAAGTTGGCGTAAATACAAAATAGAGGGAAAAAAGGGAAAAAAGCCTGGTCGGTTCTTTTCCACGGGTTTGTAACTTTGAAACTGCCTCAGTTATGCTGGCATTCATCCTAAGTGCACGTTTTACGGTCTGCACTCGCATGCCGGCCCTTAATAAAAATGAATAAAAACGCTCACCTTTCCGGAGCCGCGAGAATTGCAGAGCAGCACCCCCGCAGCGTGGATGCGATACTCCTTGTCGAGCTGCTCGTGCTGGCCCTGGATCTTCCTGGAAACGAGATGGAACTCATTTTCTCCTGGTCAAAACTGTCGGCTCATTTCCACGGGTCGAAGACGCGTCCAACTTGGGGAGACGCGACGACCCTTTATTAAATATTCCCTATATTAAAATATCCCTATAACAAAGAAAAGGGGAGGGCTAAATATTGCCGACCGTCGGAATCCTGGGATCTCTTCCCCGGTGTTCTTCTCTCCTTTCGTCCCCCACGGAGGAAAGAGTACCTACCGAAGAACACTTTATTCCGCCTGCCCCATCGCGAAACGCGAGACAACGAGCGTCGAGAAAGGGACAAAAAGGGAGGAGGAACGTGTCGAAAGCGGAGGGTGGATTCGCGATCCCGTGGCATATTTTCCGCGCAGTTTACACTCGGTGATTTAGGAATTGAAAAAGTTCCCCCGCGAGCTGGGCGAGCGAGACGGCGGAAGAGATGGGAGGAACGAGCGAGAGGGAGAGAGGCACGTTTCGGAGGGGGTTGTCGCCTGACGCGAAACTTCGGCAATTATGAGCGAGCAAACAACGTTATAAATTCCCGGTACGAGGCGCAAGGATCGTTCACGTCCCTCGAAATATCATTTCTCGGCCGTAACTTGGGGAGCCATCGAAAGGGAGCACCGGAGGAAAATCCAGAGAACGAGAGAATAATTTACGGCGTCCCTTAACCGCGGATGCGTATGCCGGGAGTGTCGCCTCCGATTACGGGAGGTACTCGGGACGGCGACCATGGGCAGTCGTTAAGAGTCGTTCCCGATACCATATCAGAGGAGGGAAAAAAGTTCACCGGCCACTTATCGGCGAGCACGAGGGAATGGACCGCACCCGGTCAATCGGACCATTTCTCGGCCATCCCTGCGACCATTTCCGATTCAGCCGTTCGAGCATTAAACCGGTCGGCGTGTACGCGCCATTCCGACCTGGCCAAAGTTAGCGTCGCACAGTGGAGGGCCTGGCAGATCGATTACGAGAGATTGAAACCGCTCGGATAATCGGCCATCGGGCTAACTCGGCCATTCGGGGTCCACAATCGGGTGGCGCAGCCTCCGACCCCCTGCAAAGGATGCGAAGGATGTGCACGGAGTGGGCTGATAAATTATCAGTCCCCGGACTCGTTCCGCATTCCCATTTCCGGAGCCACGTCCACGCGTTCCCACGACGCGGCCTGCCCGGAAAACTTTGACCGCCCTTAGGGCCTCCGGCTCCTCTTCCAGGTGTGCCTTCCATGCGCTCCTCGTGTCGCCTGTCTCCTTCCCACCCTCTCCCCTCTTTCTCCTCCCCCGATGCGGAGCCTATGAATTATTATTACATCGCAGAGCCCGTGTCGTGCGCCGCTATGCTGCCATCTGGCGAAGGACGAGCCGAGTTCCGCAAACTCCGGGCCGAACCCCGGAAGCGTTTTCCGCGATGCGATCAATTCCGAATCACCCTGCGCCCTGCCTCAATTTCCAGGTGCCGGAGCTCGCTTCTAATACCTCGCTGCGACCATTCGTCACTTCCCGTACGATTACACGGCTCGATTGATTGAATCGATTTACCTATCCGAGGAGTTTCCCCCCGAGGAACCGGAGAATCGACCCCCTTCGATCGAACGATCCTTGATCCTTGATTTCCTCTTGGTTTTCTCATCCGTCGCGTTAAAGGAGTTCGTACACGTGCTACTTTCCGTGGTAATTATATAATATTGTTAGGTTGAAAATTTAATTTTTATGGGTGTACTTACGATATAGCGTGCAGAAGTTCCTGCCTCTGCTTCTCCTTCACTTTGACACTCCCACCCTCGGCAAGAGCGACCTGTAGCTCCCTCTGCAAGACTGCCAATTTACGTCTCTCGGCCTCGAGGAGCAAAGAGGTAACCTGCAACACCGACGGTAGAGTGAGTCCGGTTAAGATAACCCAGGATAACCCAGGATAACCCGTCCTGCTAAATCAGGAGGGAAGTATTCTAACGCCTCCCCGGGATCAATTTTTCTGTACGTAAGTATCCACCAGGTTAGCTCGAAACCGAGTTACGGTCATACCCTACACCAACGGGAAAGCGAGAGCGCCGACTTACCGACGTCAGCTAACCTACCTAAGAAACGAACCGGACTTCGCGTCCCCTGAAATATCGACGGAGGTAAGTATCCTTTCCTAGACTTTACCGATGGACTTTTCCCTCCGCAGGGTACGAAGAAATTAATTATTCGAGGATTCCCACGATTTAGCGTCCGGGGATTTTGGGATTCTTTGAAATTAACCAAGGATTGCGGTGGTCAGGATCGGAAAGGACACGGTGCGCGAAGGACATGGACATTGATCGAGCCCGGTCTCGCCGCATCGCGCGATCGGCGATCATCGATAGCCGGGGCGTTTATCAATTTGTCCCATGCATAAGGGAACTCGATAATGTCGCAAAAATCTAAATCGGCCGGAAAATTCACTTTCTTGGCGAGGTACCCTTGGGGATACCGATCTCTCTCCTAAGCGAGCTTATCGCTCTTCGCTCTCGGCTGGATGTAACCTCCGCTCGCCTAGCTGGCGGGATATCGTGCATGCGAATGCCTTCCATAATTGGCTGAAAGCATACTGAACTTCCTACGATTATATGACTTATTATTGCAAGATTATGCAAATCCGTTGCATCGCGTAGGATCGCACCGTGTACCTCTTTAACCCGCGTATACGAGCGGTAATGCCCGCGAGAGCGGAGCAGCGGTTCTCAGCGGGCCCCGAAAGGATCGACCAACCACGAGCCGGGAGTTTCGTGTCCTGATAAGGATCAATCCTTCATCGATCCGCCAAGAGCCAAGGATTCGTACATAGAAACCTCCCTAGGGTTGCGCGCACCTCTACTTGTCCTACCAGTCCTTACACAGAGCCGAATAATTAACTCCACGCAAGCACCCCGATTTACAAGTTTTCATCACCCTAGAGCCCCTGGACGGTCCCCCGGGACCTTCGGATTGAAATTGGAGAGACTCCTTTCCCGACCCAGGAAAAGCGAAAAATCCTATCGCGGGTACTTTGGACCGCGTTATCCCACTTTGTATGCAAAACGGGTTGCCACGAGTCAACGACCCCGCGTCGCCTTTCGAGGTAGTCGGTGCGTGTAAGAGGTTTAACGCTTAACATCGATGGGGATTTTCCGATAGGAGAGCTCGATCGAGAAATTTCGGTCTTTATCGAGGGCCTCCACCACGTGGCAGCGCGCTGACCCTCCGCGCGCTGCGCCGGTCGCGGATAAGGACCCTGAAGGTCCTGCTGCGTTTGGTCATTTAATTTGTCCACATCCAGCACCTCCCGGATTTCCATCGAACTCGTGGCCTCGAAGTTACGACATCGCTCGGCCAATTACGGCGAGGCGGGCCGGCCGGTCCTGCGACGGTCTCACCTAATCTCGTCGCCAGGATCGGCCGCGTGGCCTCCGCAAGAAAACCGCATGTTGCATCGTAAACGCGCAATTAAGACGCTCACCTCTGCCGCGGAGGAGACAGAAGAGGAGTCGTCGCACTCGCTTACGCAACTCGCGATGAAGAGGAGAGGGCAGAGGCGAGCGAGAAACCCATCCTCGAGCGAGTCGCGCCCACCGCCCCCGCGAGATCTGGCCCCCTTATGTCTTCGACTTTTTTACCTCCCAGCCTCTTCCCCGACCTCTTCCACGGAGTGGAAATCGATCTTCGCTCCTGGTTCGTGCAGGATCTGCCCGCGGATTCTGCGGCGCATCCTCGCGCCAGCGCGGACTATCCGGGACGGACCTTGAAGAGACCCGCGATCAGCTGATCGGCGAGGGATGAAAGGGGTGAGCCCCGACCCCCGATAATTACGCCGTGATCCCGGGAGGAAAGTCAAGACTTAGAGTGTTGAGGGTACGGTGATGGGGACGCGGATAGATACGGACGGCTTCGGACTCGCCGCGATGGGAAGGCCTCCCATTTGTCGTGGATTACCCACGCGGGCATTTGTCGGTGCGCCGGCAATTAAATTATTCCCGCGGTATGTGCGATTTGCACTTTGCACGAGCGGGCAACAATCGCGGCTTCAATTGCTTTCAGCGATTCGACCATTAAATCGGCGAGTGAACGTCGCTTTTCGAGAGAGGAGCCGCCGACTCGTACATTCGGAGTTAACTGCCTATTACGAGAGCGGCTACAGAAGTGAAACGCTGGGAGATTTTCATTCAAACTTTTTTCCTACACCGTAAGTGGTACTCCAGGCGATGTAATAACGCGATCGGAAGCGAATGCCTTTAACCCTTTGCGCGGAAATGGTGACTGCAAAGGGCCTTATTATGCCCCTTAAGTATGTACCATCGGGTTGTTCACCGCGAAGTCGCGGAATTTCCTCTCTTTTTAACTTCCGTATCAATGACACGTAATGAAAATAATTTCACGTGTCCCTTAGAAATGCCTGAAATTTCGCAAAAATCCCAGGAAATCCCTGAAGGTTCAATTGAAATCCATGAAAATCCGTGAAAAATCCTAGGAATCCTGTAAATGTTCAGAGACCCGGCTCAATCTAAGTGCTCCCATTTTCTGCCCTGTATCATCATCCAGAAGAGCGAACCGATTCCTCTCGGAAGCCAAGTCTTTGTCCGGCGACCGGTGGGAGCGGCGCCTGTGGGAAACGAGCGGCGATCGGCAGGACACTCCTCGGAGGAGCCGCACAACGGAGGGACATCCGTGGCGAATCCCGTCGAGCTCGGCGGACCCATTACACGGCGCCGTTGCGGTCTGCCGACTATTACCCCTTTAATCGGCGCATCCCGTCCCGGGCGTGCTCGAGCCGCGACTCCTCCTCGGCGTCGGCTCGCCATTCCCACGTCGCGACGCTCCAGGCGCGGCGCCGCGACGACTCGCGACGTCCCCGAGTGGACGCGCCTCTGACGCCGATCGAGCGCGACGTCGGGCGCCGAATGTCGAGCGCAAACGGCGACGCCTTTCTCCGCAGACCCGGGGCCGGAAACGGGATTCCGTTCCGCCGATTTCCAGCGGACGATCACGAGGATGCGCGGACGACGAAGTGCATCTCGGTCACGGCCGGCGACGAACGAAAGGAAGTGGACGCGCGACGTGGAAAGTAGCGAAAGCTCGATTATCCACCGACACGGTGCATCGCCTTTCCCCGGGGATGCCGAACCCTCGTCGCGTCATCGCGAGGGTCGCTACAAATGGCCTCGTGCAAAACGTAACGAAAAATGGCATTTGTGAAGAACCGACACAACATACATACATTTTCTATTTTGCAACGTTTTTATTGGAGTTTTGGCTATTAAATTCAGTGGTCCTGTACCATATTCCTCCACCTTGCCTGTGATAATTAATCCAAGAGCGATCAACCAGGTTCGATTAGTGGACCAACGGGAGGCTCTTTATTATTTTTCAATAAATTATTGCTGGCAAAGAATGCACTTTAGAGAAAAGTTGTGTTACACTTTTCGACTCCTTTTCCAATGAAGGTGGCCTGTATAAATCATGAGTCTTTTTGCTCGGTCGATATACGTTTAGTTTTAGACATTTCTCTGGAAATAAGCCTTGTCCATTTCTCAAGGGAATGATGTTCCCTTGCCTCATGTATCGTGGGTAGTTCATTGGAGCCGGACTTGGAAAGTGGCGCGACGAGCTGGACATTGTCGTTGTCAACGTCAACTTTCCTCGAGGAGGCGCCTCATCGATACTCATTGTTCGCCGTCTATCGATACGTCGCGCGACGAGCGACCCCTCCGCCGGGATTTCTACTTCCGCCGTAAATTCTGGGGAAATAAGCGCGCGCTCGCGTGTCGGACTCGGGGAAGAAGAAGAAGAGGAAGAAAAGGACCGAGGAAACAGGACTTTCTAACTTCGTGACTGCTAGTCGAACTCCTTTCGACGAGACCGCGGTCCTTAACGAACCGAGCCGGGATATCGATCCCTGGTTGTCGCGTGCCTCTCTCTTTCCCCGGTCCCGGCGCGATTGGTTCCCTCGCCATTCGGCCGACAATTTCGCACGCTAATATCCTGCGGACTTGGTAACGAGAAGTCGCCATAAAGATTCAAGGAAACAGGGCCGCGATCGCGATAAGCCCTGCCGGCCTCCAGGGAAAGCCGGGCCCGATGGTGCCGATTTAAAGCGTTTCCGCGGAAAGTTAGCATAAAAAGCGGCCCCATAATTTGCCCGACAAGCGGAATTTTACGACCGACCTGGGAAAAGCGCCGCGATAAATGCAGAACCCCCGGGCAAAAAATTCCGAACGTCCATGGAATAAATAATTGACCGAATTGAAACGTGCCATCCTCGCTAAGGATAATGCCTGGAGGAACCCTATTACGGAACGCTTCCAATTCCTGCCGTATTCTGGCTGCCCAGATTTTAATCTAATATGCAATCTACCATCTTTACATAGAACCGCGCCTAAAGGCCGCACGCGAACATCGAGTTACCGGATGTTACTGGGAATATCGCATCGATCGCCTCGGACGATGAAAAACGTGTCGGGCGAATCGACGTAGAAATTGCTTCCCATTAGACCCGACGCTCCTACACCCACTTCGAAAATGGAAACAAAGATACTGCAGCGAAAAAATAAAGAATAGGAATTTTGTGCGTCCCGATTTTTATGGCGGCGTCGAATTAAACGTTTCCATGGATACCGTGGTTGGACGCCAAAAGCTCGGTCGATGGTTTCCGTCCACGGGCACGTCTTGGGCTCGCCGGAAGTTGCGGAAATCATATAACATCCTTTATCGATAAAGATTCGCAACGCGTCACGCACGCCGGAAGTCGGGCTCTGAAAATCCGCTAGGTTTAGCGGCGATTACAATAATTCATCGTTAAAGCCACGAAAATGAAAAGTAAGTGCGCACGAGCCCGTAACTAGACTCGACGTTGACCGACCCGTGAGAAGTTACGAAATTATTTTTTCCCTCCCCTCCCTTCTGAAAACAGGACTACCGTTAACTCTTACTTAAGAGCAAGAACGTTATCGGGTACTTCTATCCGAGCTATTAAAAATCCGGACATGGAAAGACTAAAATCCGAGCTTACGAGGTACTCCTGCTCGCGTTACGACGTAACAAAGTGTAATAAAAACATGACGCACTCGTTGCAGGAGCCACGATTGCCCGATCGATTAACCGACCGGTTAGCGAGTAAAAAATCAAGCTTGGCAAGCTTTCCTCGATCCATACAAACGGATCGTTGGAGTTCCATGTCGTCCGAATATAAATCGCCCCGTCCACGTACGCGGATACCGCGTATGAAATATGTCGTCGTGGGGAAAATAAACGACTGGTCTAATCATAAATCCGAGCGATGACTAAACGCCGCCATTAGGTGATCGAGAGCGAAATGCTCAACAAATTGATTCTACCAACCGATTTTCGCATCTTCGGGGTGTTTACGGTGCAAGCGTCGATCCGTCATCGAGGGCGCCCTGGCGGCATCGCGCCGATCGATCGGACCTCGTATCAATCGGCAATTAATAAGGAGTTCGTTAAGCGACCGCGTTAGGACCCACAAGAGAGGTTAACACGAGTCGTATCTTCGGAGGATCAAATTGCTTCAAAGCGCCGGCTCGTCTTTTCCGCCCTCCTCTCCTTTTACGACGGCCCTTCCCGTCCCTTTACAGCGTCCCCTCTTCCTCTTGGCGACGACGTCCATTTATGAAACCCTATCCTCGCCGGGGATCTCGACTCCGTGTCGCAGCTTTTAGGAAATTCAGCGACGAGCTCTTGCGCGTCTCCCATAATTTCCAGAGTCCGAGGATTCGCGAAATCTCCGAGGACTGGCAAGTCTCGATCCGCCCGATCGGTCACGATCGGGGCAAGGATCGCATCGATCGATCGATCGATCGATGGCCGTCTGGCCGCAACCGCGAAAAACCGGGGTCGGAGAGAAAGGACCGGGAGCGGAAGGAATTGGACGCCGGCAAAAGGACGACTGAGAGAGACGGGGCGAGTCGACTTTCCTCGAGTCTCTTTCGATTTCAGTCGGCACGTCCGAGGACGAGGGGGCTCTCGCCGAGCACCGGCGAGTACGGCTTTTCTGGGTCGGACCTCTCACCGAGTGGTGACCATCGGTCCAAGTCCGCCACCGCCGTGAAACTCGACCGGTGAACGGACGTCTATATTTATCACAGTCCATGGTGCACTATTTTCGCACCTGGCATTCTTCGGCTCGCGGCCTACAGGTACCGCCAAGGACTCGAAGCTGAGCCGTGAAAAGAGTCCTTTTTTCGAAAAAGCTTCTCTTCTTCACGACTCAATCTTCTCAATCAATCATTTTCCATGATTTCTTTTTTCAAAATCGATTGTCTTTGATAACGCGCGACGAACGACATCGCGATTCGGTAACGAGGGACGTACAACCTTAGAATCGTGATTTCTGCCTGCGATTTCCGAATAATTTACAAGGGAATTCCAGTGATGTGATCCATGATTTTTTTAGGGGTTGCACTCACCTCGAGTTGCACCCCAAAGAGGTCCCTGGACCGTCCTGGCCTGGGCGCGTCCAGCTTCTGCATCTCGGCACCCCTCTCTACGAGGCCCATCTTCCAGAAATCTGCAACAAGCGAGAGCGTTGTAGTCGTGCGTAAAGCGTGAGCAGGATGACGGGGCACGTTGCAGGTGCAGCCAAGCACCTCGTGTCAACGGACCCCGTGGCCTCCACCGGCGGGAGCGGAGATCGATCCCCGGCCCCGCCGCCCCTCCGAGGCGTAGAGAGGTTAGGTTGCACCGCCGACCACGTGACTCGCCAACAACAATGCGGTGCATGTGCATAACCTCGGTGCGTAGCCGGACTGGTACCGAGTTTATACCGTTACCGCCGAGAGAGAAATTACTGGCTAATTATTTATCGTTAATTGCTCGACACCCGGCCAGCACTACGCCGTCGAAACGGGGAATTGCGTCGAGAAATCGCGCCATGCAACCAGCACGAGGTTGGCCCGCGACGAAGGTCTTGCTTTATTGCGATAAAAGGAAAAAGAGACGAGAGACCTTTGTCGAATTCAAGATGTATCGCGGGAGAACTCGAGAAAACCCGGGAAAACTCATTAAATGGGGCACCCACTGGTAGAAAGTGAACGCTCCGGCGCGGCGCGTCCAAGGGCGAAGTGCAACCTATTACCGGTCGTTATAGAAAATCAAGAAAGTTCCACTTTCGAATTTCCACCGCGATTGGGGTCTTTTGTAGAGTGGAGCGGAGATATCTAGATCTCTCGGACTTTCTAGGATTTATTTACTCTCCGTCGAAGGATGATTTATCGCGGGATGCCGCGACCGTCTCTTCGGCGTGGAGGGTCGCGCATCTCGAGAGTGCGGAGAAGCTCTGGCCAAATAGAAATCCTGCCAGGAGCCTCGTGGCGAAGAGATCGTTAAAGGCATTTCTAAAGAAGGAAGCCCGTAAAGGAAATCGCGCAATGAACTTTCCGAACTTCCGAGCCCGTGGCATAACGATGCGTTCCGCGACTCGCCCACGGCGCACTTTCTTCCGTGATGGGTCTAAATGGCCGCGCGGCCGTTTACGGCGAGCGGATCCCCGATATCGCATCTACGCGCCTTATGATATCATCCAATTAACCGGACCCCTCGAAACGCGAGTCTCGATGGGACGCAACCGAAGGCTGATGATTTTCACCTCGCACCTCGCTTAACGGCACAACTACACGAGACCACCAGGAGGTCTAACCGGCACCACCAACCTGGAAGAACCGCCACGGTCGTGCCGTTACGGTAACCTCGTTACCGTTAGCGTTACCTTATCACCCGCCAGGATCCCTATCACTGGCATAGGCAGATCGGAGACTCGCCCACGGATCTACAGAAAATTCCCACAGCTGGGACCTCCGCACAAGGTCCCGCTTAAACCTGCCGAGTGTCGCACAGACTGCGACGCGTCGACGCGTCAAGGTTAAAAAGCGAATCGGAATTGTTCTTAGCCTCGCAACATTAGCGAAAATTTTCTAACCGGTTCTTTCTCCGGTTTCATCCTCGTTGCGCTGCCGCGATCTGGGCGAGATGTGGAACTCGCTCGTAAACCTCTCTACCCGAAGAGGTGAAAATTTCAGATATGACCCCGGTGGACCATTTGAGGTACCCTTCCGGTGGATTTTTACAATGCGCCAGAGGCTTCCTTTCCCTGCGTCGTTCCTCTCTTCGCTCCAGGGCTTCGAGAGCGAGCGGAAGCGAGCTCTTCAGGGTCTGCAGAGCCACGACCGACCGAAGAAACGAACGCTAACGGGATCGCGATACGGATCGTTGGAGTGCCCACCAGAGGGGCCGCCAACTCTACGCGTCTCCCCATCCTGGACCACCGGAAGCTGCGAAGACCGGATTCGAAGATCGAAAATTGAGCGGGAATGAGATGGGAAGAGAGAGAGGAAACTACTTCTCCGAACCGAAGGAGCACTTTTCGCTGAACCCGTCGCGCTCGAAGACGTCTTCAATGTCTTTGAACTCTTCGAATGTATTTTATTTTTTTTTTTTCAAGGGCAGAGGGGGGTGGTAACGATTTCAGCCGATGGGCAGTGCGCCTAGAGTTGCCGGTGTTACGTTTAAAAACGTAAGAGAGAAAACACGTTAACCGTGGGCCTTTCTTTGCGCGGGTCTTACGAGTTCGTCGAAAGTCCAATTTGCCATTTCCCGTTCCACATCGCGGGATGCGAACCGAATCGCGAGATCGAAAGTTGCGCCGCCGAGGGAGGAAAAGAACCACACCGAGCGATCTCCTCCGACGGGATAACCGCTCTTCTCCGAATGGACGTTGCTGGATAGAAGGATAGCTCAATGGTCGAGTGCGCAAGCGGTGCACAGTCGGTACGAGTCGTTCCAAACATTGCCCCTGATTGTGGGCAGCTCGGCTCCTCGTTCCCCGCTCTGGGAAAGGAAAAGTGGTCGATTTCACCGAATGTTCGTTACCGGGTAATGGAAAAGGTAATTGCCCCGTTGAATCATCGCTCGCTCTGAACGCCGATCGGCTTCGGGAGAGCCGATCTCGCCAAGGTAAGGGAATTTGCTCGACTCGCGAGTCGCTCCACCGGACAGTCGATAATCGCCCTGCCAGGTAAAATTCTCGGTGCGTTAAGTCGATCGTCGGTCAATCGAGTGGTTTCCTTTAATTCGGTTGCGATAGATCGATAATTAATCGCGAAGAAACCGAGCGACGGGAAGTCGATAGAAAATCGAGAGGGATTCTCCGTCGCCCGAAAGGCTGCGCTGGGTATCGCAACCCAGACGGGTCCTTCTCGGATAAATCTTCGGATAAATCTCCGGATCTCCGTTCTCCGTCTTCCCGCCGTCTTCTTCCGTCGAGTCGACGGAAGGGAAGACGGATGGAGCCGAGGGCAAAGCTCCTGCATCCCGGGCGCGGAGAGATCTCTCTTTCGCGCCGAGGATGCAACCTGCATGCAGGTGCATAATGAGATCGCATTGCGTATGACATGCCGGACCCCCGCTGCCAGTGCCCCGGGCACTAATGTCCAACCGACGACGCGTCCACGCGGAATTGGAAGTAAGCGGCAATAACGATTACGCCCGGGAATAGTAACGATGACGGAGATAATGAGGGTAATGATTCTAATGGCCAGGTAAGCCCAGACGAGACAATTCTCTAGTCGCTATCTTCAAAGAGCATCTCGCCGCCGAGCGTTGTCGCGTCGCGTCGTCGCGTCGCGCTCAAACGTGACCCGACGAGACTTTCTCACCGCGCGCGCATGCGTGCGACGAGTCGCGAGTTCTTGTCACTCGAAATCATCATTAGCGCTTCTTCCGCGCTCTATTATCCTCCCGGAAGATAATGGAGACCCTTGATTCCCCGAGAACTCGCGACTCATTCCAGACGTACACCCCGCAACTTGAGAACCGATACCCAGAGTAACGAGGTAATGAAATCACGAACTCTCGCCAAAAGTGCGGACACTCCGCCCGATAAAAATGGCCCACGTGGATACCGATATAAAAAGTCCCTCGCAGGATCTCCCCGCGTTATTATTAATCGTTTCCGTCAGCTCGTCCCAGGAAATCGGCGATAATTTCCGGCTCGACTTAACGAGGATTCCATGGTACACGGCATCCGCGACGTGATCGATGCGACGGATTATCGCGGACTATCCCTGCGGTGAAATCGACGGCTCGACAAAAAGCGAGATTTCGAGCAGAACGGAGCGGATGGCGGCGAGTCGCTCGTCAGAGGGCGATTTGCATCGAAGGTCGGTGGATTCGAGGTTCGATCTGGCACAGGTTCGCATTGGCGACTCGAGGCGGTTCCTCGGTCGGCAGAAAAACCGACTTCGCGGTCGCCGGATTAACCGAGGAGGAAACGATTCCTCGAGTTTTGCCGAAGGAAGGCCAGCCAAGGCGCGGCCACCGCGAGGGGCTCGCCAGGTCGAGTTCCACTTGGAGTTCCACTATCTTATTTTCCTTCTCGCCCTCTCCTCGACCATCTCATCTTGTCCCGTACAGGTCGGCTCGTAACGCGTCGTCGGATGAAAAAGGCGTTCCTCCGGTAACGCTCCGACGACATCGACATCGACTATCCGAACAAGGACGATTACCATTACCGGTAGCGCCAAGTGGGTCATGACTGACTCGCGTCTGCCCGGATTCTCCGAAGATCCCTCTAGAGCCAAGCAGTCGAATCAGCGACATCGATCCGGGGAAAAAAATTCAAAAGGATACCCCCCGAAATTAAATAAACCCGGGGACTATACGTGGTCGTACGTATCGCGGAAATGGCGAGCGGGTAGTTTCAGTGGCGTCTTGTTATTCCAACAGGGGGTTGGCTCGTCATTTAAATGCCAACGATCCACCCGGGGGATTTAGCCGGTCATGGGGGGTATTTCGAGGGGAAAGGTAACGAGGAAAGGCCAAGGCGTGTCCCCGGATTTGTTATCGCCCTCCTCGGAGCCTCTCTGATGGAAGAGCGCCGGGCGTGGCAGCAGCTCGCCAGGCTCTTCCAAAAGAGAAAGACGCCCATTAATTGTAAAGTAGGTTGCCGGTGGAAGTGGTTCCGTGATTATTAGTTTAGCCCGATAAGCAATCGATATCGCGGAAATATTAAACCCGGTGAACCCGTTTGACGTCCCGCGCTACTTGTCCCATAGCCCGTGCAGTCGACACCCGATCGGCCTGGCCGGCCTTTTCACGTCCCGATGGTTCCTTCCCTTCTCCGAGGTTCGTCAAGAGGCCATGCCTTAAGTACCCCGGCGAATCGTGATTTTAGCCAGCGTGAATCGGCTCGAGCGAGGGCATCGAGCTGCATCCTCGCGTGCACGTTCGACGCGTGGGCCGTGGACAAGCGCGAGAAGCGGCGATCGCGAGGACGGGACGCGCCGCAAAGCGGAGGAGGCGAAGGTGCGATATATAGAGAGCGAGAGGGAGATAGGACAGGTGGGAGGAGGAAAGAGAGGCGAATAGGTCTCCGTATAACCGTAGCACGTGCGACCGGGTCCACGCACCTCTCGACCTCGCTCGTCCGCGCCTTTCACCTAGCCTTGCTAAATCCTTCCAGGTCGTGGAAAGGTGCTTTCCAAAAATCAAGGGGGGCCCCTCT